TTATAGAGATCTTAATTAAAAATTTGTACGTCTTCGCATTTGAAAGAAGGTATGAAAACGCCATAGGAAAGTAGGGGGGTAGTACTGGGGACATGCTGAATTTCGATGGGGATGTTATGGGTGTAAAGTGGAAGTATCACTGAGACAATTATTTACACTCGCGCTCACTTATATACGCGCATAGACATATATACACACGCGCAAAAATATACGGACTCTTACAAAAACATATACACATACGCACAGGAATAATAGATAAACAGATATGCTGCGGTCAAAAGTGTACGAGAAGTTTTATAATGTATATTAGATTTCAGTATGCTTGTATAGATAATTTTCAACTCATAGAGGAATAAATATCGTGATTTTTCTGACTGTATATAAATATACATTTGTAAATGTATGTGTATATGTAGATGGACGTGTAGTTGTAGTTGTAGATGATTATGTTGTTGTATATGTTGTTGCAGATGTATTCGTAGATCTAGATGTAATTATATGTAGATGTGCAATGTATACGTATAGTATATATATATATATATATATATATACATGTCCGTGTATATGTTCATTTACATGGATATGTACGAGTAAATATAAATGTATATGTAATTGTAGTGGTTAAAGTATATGTAGATGTATAGGCAAAAGTATGAGTATATGTATAAGTAAGTAAGTTAGTATGTATCAATGTTTCTATTTAAGTTAGTATGTATCTAAGTGTCTATATATATATATATATGTACAAATATAAGTATAAATAAAATTATACGGGTATACATTTATATAGATATATACATACATATATATATGTATATATACATACACACACAAACATCCACACTCATATATATAAAATATACATATATATGTATATATATATACATATATATGTATACATATATATGTATATATACATACATATGCATATATATTATATATTTAAATGCATATCTATATAATTTTATTTATACTCGTATATATATATAATATATAAGTAAAAATTTATACATTTACACCTCTATATATACACACACGCATATATATATATATGTGTGTTAGTATAATGTATAAGTACACACATATATATATACATACATATCTATATCCATATATATACATACACACACACATATATATTTACATACATACATATCTATATATATACGAATATATACATACACACACACATATATGTTTAAATTTACAAATATATACACTTACATATATGTATTACATTGATACACACACACACACACATATATCGATGTATAAAAGGAGGTCTAATGACCTTTCAACAGGATTATAAACTACTCACGAGGTAATCGTATATATTTCTATTGATTGTATGGTCACAGGCTCAAACCCAACAACACTGTCGACAATTTTGTTGTATATTTTCTAACATTATTGATATAGATTTTGATACTACAATATATTCTAGGCAACAACCTTTTCGTACATTTCTTCAAGTGCAGTCATATACTCTTTGCAAACCATTTCGCTCTCCACCCCGCAGCCGGCGTCCAAGATACATCCAACGGTCACATTCCTTCCCTGTGTTATAATGGAAAAGCCCATACCACAATCACCTCTCTGTGGTACCCAGAAGGTGAGTTTGTTGAGTTTATGCGTACCTATGTACATAGTCTCTGACGGCCCGGGTACATTTGACACTACCGCGGTAATCTTAGAGGCCATCAAATCTAGCAGCGCTCCGCAGAGTATATTATTTAGTATTGTCGCGGCGATCTGTGTCGCATAGTACATGATCAAAGGCGTGACTGATTTCTTCAGTGCATCAATTTCCTTTTTCATCGAAAGCGCGGATTCGATGGGTTCAGGTGTGTGTGTGGGAATCTTCACCATTGGTGTGGCAAAGCGATTCTCGATGATAGGAACGTTGTTGTCGGACCGCATGTTGATGGGCATCACGACAGTGATATCCTTGGGGGGTTTATTTCCTGCATCCAATTTCTTCCAAACACGATTTAGTGCACATCCAAGATTGCCCATAAGAACGTCATTCAAGGTAACTTTACCATTGATATTTGCACTCATCTTATTCTTGATCGCCTTAACCTTCTCGAGATCGTACGTATGAGACATGGCTACAATCTTTTTACCCTCTAGATTCGTCGATTTATAGTAATTACGATCCCACGGCATAAAGATGACCTGCAGAAGCGTTGGGAGGAACAAAACAGTTGTTAGCGCGTGCACCAACCATGGATTCGCGGGCGGTTTCTTCTGCACTTGAGACGAGCTCTCACTCAAGACCAGCGTCCTTTCTGGGATAGTGCTACCGTTTCCGTCCTTGACCTCTTTCATTTGCTCTTCAGTATTTAGCATATTAAACATCATGGTGCCGAGGGCAATCCCGTCTCCAATGGTATGGTGTATTCTGAACAACAAGATGGTTTCAGAAATTCCAGCGCTATTCTTTTGGAAGTCCTCAATCACCATTATACTCCACAAAGGACGATCAAAAGGCATCGCTAAGGAACATTCACGGCCTAAAAAGATATTCAATTCAGCCTCATTCGTTGGTTTGGTAGCATCGTCACATTTTCTGATCATAACATTCACATCAAAATCTTCATCCTTGATAAAAAAGGGTAAACCTTTGTAACTCACAAAGCGTTGCTTGAAGCGACGATAATGATCTTGCTTGATAGACGACATGAACTCCCCTTTCATGGTTTCTGTAGTCAGATTTTCCACCACCAAGATCGACGAGATGATGCACTTGTTTGTATCGCCTTCAATCTTCCACATGTTATCGCGCGCTGGGATGTATTCTGTTTCGGGTCCGTAACGAGCTTTAGCCTCAGCGCTGATAGACGCCACTCGTCTTTTAAAATGGAAGGCAAGCGCTACTACGGCACATACTGCGAGTAGGATGTAGAAAGGAGTGCTCATAATAGCTTAAGTAAAGTCAGGGAAGCTGTAGCTTTGAACGGGCGTCAATGGTTTAAAAAATACTTCCGGTGTTTGCTTTATTATATATATTTTTGCACTGTTCAATTGGAGGCTTTCATTTTTGTGAAAATAGAAATACAAATGCTTGATTTTGATCTATTTAGAAGGCAATGTGATTTTGTAAAATATAATAAATGCATTACTCCCCTTGTGAGTATATATTTATGCCATTTTAGGCTACTGTTTTCAGTCCTGTGCTGAGTGCTAACTCAATCGAACAAAAAAGGCGATTTTTTATCCAGTACATCATTTCTGAAAAACGTAGATTCATCATTCAAAATTGTACATAAATATATAAATAGCCATCTGATTCTGAATGTACGTCAGAAGAAGGTTATGTTCAAGAGACCTATAAAGAACAGCTATGTTTTTTTTGAAACAATATGATTTTGTTTTATTATATTATATTTTTTATAAATGTGTTTTTTAAACCAATATAATTCAATGATATATTTTTTAACTATAAAAATATTTTTTAAAATACTAAATTTATTGAATACAACTCGTAATAAGTCGACTCGAGTCGTACTCGTAACCGACAATATTTATATCCTTTTTAAAATAAATAAATACAAGACTTGTTGAAGGCTCCGTAGTTCGTAAATAGTCCGTACAGCCGTAAACACATGCTATTTTTTTAAAATACATATTTGTTTTTATATATTTGTTTAAAGACAGTCACAGTATGTAGCCTTCTTCTGAATCTCAGAATTTGATTCAGAGGGCAGTATTTAATGTTTAGAGTAAATACTTTCAGAAGGCTATTTATAGTGTTTTTGTTCATATTTTGTTCTGTTAATAGGGGGTTTTTGTTTTTTTTGTTAAAAAAGCGTCAAAACAAAACATGATATAGGACCAACCTAGTTTATCCTATTCTAGTCCTAAACCTCAATCGGGTTTTTATACTGACTGCCATGCGGTCCAAAATAGGTCCACGCGCAGCCTTATATTTCGTAAAACTTGACATACTGTCTAGTGAGTGAATTTGCCAAGAGTTTGGGGCATCTAATAAGGATACCGCAAACCGAACCAAAGGTCTTTGGGAACCTGTGAGGTGTCCCCAAAGACCCAATGTCAAGTGTTTTATTGTTGTTTGCCAATTTGTATAGTTGATTATATATATTTGTTAATGGATGTGGGGGGGTGGGTGATTGAAGTTCGAGGCTGAATAGTCCTGTGAGCGAGTGATGTATTCCCCTACTTCTCCACTGTTTATGTACCCTTGGTGGTTTTAACCTTAAACCCAACCCTAAACCCTGGAATAACAACCCTGGCGGACCACTACTTTTCAGCCCAAAATTTTACTGCCTTGACCTCTGTAAAAATAGCGGGTTCCTCATAGTAGTTGCACAGTTAACGTATATTATAAACGTATTATAATATTAACGTTTATACCTATAATATTGGAATACGTTTAACGAATTGGACATGAACAAGAATTGAGATATTTAAGATTCTGAACATGTGATAGTACTCAGTAGAGTATGGGACTCTACTGTGGACAATTGGTTTTCCAAATATAGATTGGTTTTTCCACTGAAATTAGAATTGTACATAATATAGGAATGATACAAATCTGACACCTGAAAATAGACACTTTGGGAATCT